TTGCCAGCTTGCGAAGAAGCTTCATCCTGATATGAACAAAGATGACCCAGAAGCTGAGAAGAAGTTCCAGGAGGTCTCAAAAGCGTATGAAGTGAGTTTTGCACCTTAGATCTATGAACATATTTTGTTGTGATGTTTTACTTTTTCCCATTGAACGAATTTGAGATTTGGGTGCTTGTCAGGTTTTAAAAGATAAGGAGAAGCGTGATCTTTATGATCAGGTATCAGGATCTTTAGTATTTCTTGGAATCGGTATAGCCAAATGACCTGTTTTTGTGTCCTTTTCTGGATTATTCATAATTCTTCTCATATATGATTAAAGTTTGGTGTATTGTGTAGGTTGGGCATGACGCTTTTGAACAAAATGCTGCTGGTGGTTTTTCGAATGATTCAGGTTTTGGGGGTGGATTTAACCCATTCGACATATTTAACAACTTCAATGGCGATGTAATAACCTCTTTCAATTCTCTTCCTTTTATGCTGTGGTAAATGCTGCCAAGTTGTATTCTTCTTTCAATTAGCTTGACCTTTTAATGCATGTTTTCCACTTTTACTCTGCAAATCAGATATTCAACATGTTCAGACAACAAGATATTGGAGGTCAAGATGTCAAGGTGGTACTACAATCTACTTATTTTCTCTGAGATCTTCTCGATGCTTCAGGTTTAATTTATTTCCTTTTGTACTTTCTTCTTTATCGTTCTCAGGTTGCGCTTGAACTCTCTTTTATGGAAGCTGTTCAAGGATGCTCCAAAACTATTTCATTTCAAACTGATGTGGCGTGCAATGCTTGTGGTATGTTCCCATTACTAGAAAAGGCGTTCGGATTACATTGCAAATTGATAAAGTGTAGAAACTAAAACAGACAGCTAGGTTGAAAATTTAACCATGATATTGAAAGATTCTTATGCGGCTAGGTTTGTGAATCATTTCGAAAGTAGAAAAGAATATTTTGACGCATATTGTTCTGGCATTATGTATATCCTCCTCGTATCAAGTACATTACAATATATTCAGGTGATCAGAATGCTTTTGTTGTTATCATTATCTCAACTAAGTTTACACATTGTTGTTCTATTCCATTTCCTTTTAATCAGGCGGGCAAGGTGTTCCTCCTGGTAGCAAACGTGAAAAATGCAAAGCATGTAATGGTTTAGGAATGGTCAGTATCCAGCTAAAGAACATTGAAGTTGAAGTTGTTGAGCTTTGTAATTACGCGGCTTTCTCTGATTTACATGTGTTACCGATGTCTTTTCCAGACAACAATGAGAAGGGGTCTATTCAGCATCCAAACAACTTGCCAGAAATGCAGAGGAGCAGGACAAACTTTCTCGGTATGTTATATTTATGATAGTTTCAGCTTCACATTCCACATGTTTTTTTTTTAAATATTTAACGTGTATTTGTTTAATATGTATATGTGAAAACATCCTCTGTTTATGCCGATACCTGCCGAGAATATGATTTCTAACTAGGTTTTGTAGAGTTACTTAATTGCTCAATCTGTTTCTTGTGGTGGTTTTACTAGAGCATTTGCAAAACATGTAGAGGAGCTGGAGTAGTTCGAGGACAGGAGACAGTTAAATTGAATATTTGATCCAGGTAATGTCTTATCATGGGGGTGATTCAAAGAATTCTATATAATTGTCTCAAATCCTTCAGGCACTTGATCTTTGTTCACGGCTTTTTTTTTCTGCTCTTTCAGGAGTGGATAGTAATGAAACAATAAAGGTTATAAGATCAGGTGGAGCTGATCCTGATGGAGTTCAACCTGGAGATCTTTATGTTGCTATCAAGGTTTCTTGATTATCAACTTTTTTTTTGGGCATTTTTGGTGAAATATATCGGACTATGTTCTCGATAACTTGATCACATTCCTTGTTCAGGTTCGTGAAGATCCTGTTTTCCGTAGAGATGGAGCAGATATCCATGTGGATTCCGTTCTAAGTGTCACCCAGGTAATGTAACTGTCCATCTTTATCATCGGACTTCATTTCTCAAAGTTATTTTTGTTGCTTTGTCCTGGTGACTGCTGCTATATTCTTGTTGCCTTCAGGCCGTTCTTGGAGGAACTGTCCATGTACCAACCCTCACCGGTGGTGTTGTCGTGAAGGTTTGTAAACCTATTTTTCAACTTTAGTGTTTAAGGTTTACCGTAAGATCGAGTCAATGGCCTAAACTTCGCTACTGAAACCAGAGTTTTGAAAGCTTCCAATGAAGTCCGAAAATATTTATGAAGAGAACTGATACGGTCTGTTTCTTAGACTTGTTCTGTTTTCTATATTGATGGAGAGTATCAGGAGGAGTTTTACAGGTTCTAAATTCCTTATAAAACATATTTTATTTCATAACACATAACAACATATATAGAGTTTTTACAGAGGTGGTTACAACTGTATTACAAACTGAAAAAATACAAACTGATAACTTCTTCTTGAACTTCCTTCAACGTTATCTACATTCTTCAAACCTTCTTGATGATGCAGAGTCTTATGGACACTTCCTTAATTCGCTAACAAGAACTTCCTAAACTCTTGAATTGGAGAATTTTAACCTTTCGAAGACCCGATTGTAAAGCATAGATGGGTCAATTCTGAACTCCTGTATTCCCTATTGTTTGATTAGAAATGTCTGGTTTTTGTTTGTGCTGGATCAAGGCTGTTTGATGATGACAGATATTTTAGGGTTTTCTCTGTCGACCCATGAGATCTGATATCTATCCGACTCTCTTCAGAACTTTTTTCCGATGAACTGAGATTGAAACTCTGTTGTTGCAGATCCGCCCTGGAACCCAACCTGGTCAGAAAGTGGTCTTGAGGAATAAATAAAGGTGAGACAAGCTCACAGTGATAGCTCACACCCAAGAGAAAAGAGAAACTTGAGCAATTTACCAAAAGTCGATTATGAGAAAAGAAAAAAGGGAGAATTTCTGAATGCTGCAGCAAAGCTAAACAGAAATAAAAAGGAAAAAAAACCTCTCCTCAGTAGTTTTCTTGCTCGATTGATCTCTGGAAACCTCGTGCCTTTTGCCCGTGTTACAGGTATCAGGCCAAGAAATTCGTCAAGATTCGGGGATCAGTATGTGCATTTCAACGTCAGCATCCCGAGGTAAGTGAAATCTCTATAGATCTTCGTGATGTCGGATATGAATCGTGATGATGGTGAAGAATCAATCTCCATTGGTTGTTGGCAGAAACCTGACTCCGAGACAAAGGGAACTGCTGGAGGAATTCAGCAAGGAAGAGCAATGTGAATACGAGAGACGCGCCGCTTCAGGAGCTTCTCGGTGGTGAAGTGTTAAAAATCGCCAAACCGATTTCTTTAGGGGCCGACTGGTTGCACCGCCGCCACCCGCAAACGGAGCGGTTGCGATTTCTGGCGGGTTGTTGGCAGAAACCTGACTCCGAGACAAAGGGAACTGCTGGAGGAATTCAGCAAGGAAGAGCAATGTGAATACGAGAGACGCGCCGCTTCAGGAGCTTCTCGGTGGTGAAGTGTTAAAAATCGCCAAACCGATTTCTTTAGGGGCCGACTGGTTGCACCGCCGCCACCCGCAAACGGAGCGGTTGCGATTTCTGGCGGTGCGGGCGATTGAAAAACTGACTGGTTGAACCGCAACCAACCGCAACCGCAACCAAACTTGTGTTTTCTAATCGCAGCTTCCAACTTGTGTTTTGGTAGCGGTTTCCGGCGTTTTGATAAAAAAACTAAAATATTTTTATTAGAAATTATATAAAACATTAATATATATATTGGTGATGATTTTGTTTAGTGTTATGATTTGATATTATTTTTTAGTATTATATTTTAATAAAAAAAATACAATAGTATAATTTTTAGGTTTAATAATGATTATTTTTAATAATTTTTATAATAAAATTATTTTTTTACTTGAAAATAAATTAAATTGATAATATTTTTATTTTAAATTTATTATTTAATTATTATAAATTTAGTAAATAAAATGATACGAAAAATTTAATTAAAACTATTATAAAAAATTATTTTTAAATAATATTTTTTTTGACAATTTATATCAAAACGCAACCGCAATCGTAATGAACCATTTACTTCTAACTGCACCCACATACAATCGCTACTAACAACAACTTCTCAACCAGTCAATACTAATCATTTATAATCGCTATCAAACGTTTTGAAAACGTTGTCACCCGCAACCGCAACCGCTGCGTTACAACCAGTCAAACCCTTAGTCAAATAGCGTTTGGCCTTTCCCCTCTCAACTACAAGAATGCAACAGCGAGAAGTTGCTGTGCACACTGTGTATGCTGAAGAAATTGCTACGTTTCATTCTAAAATAATTTCCTTGTTATTGTCCTGTTGAAATGAGATGCTATTGGCTTCTTGTAAAAATTTAGTAATCTTGGCATGCATCCTATACAAATCCGAATATATCGGGTATCCGAATTTTTGGATTCCTAGCTATTTCAAATGTTTGAATTCGTAAATAGAGGTAGGTACGAGTCGGGGGTCTTTAAAGACCTAAAACCGAATTTTACATTCTTACATAAATAGAAAGTTATTAAAAATAAAATATTCTCTAGAAAGGATAAAACCACAAAAATTTCTTAACTTGTAAAATGGTGAAAATTTAATTTATAAACTTTGCGCTTAACAAATTTATTATTAAAACTATAAAATTTATTATTATAATTCTCAAACCTATAAAATATATTATTATAATTTTCAAATTTTTTAATTAGTACGGGATAAAACGATATTGATACATAAATCAGTTTAGAAATTATAATGATATCTTTTGCAAATTTATTAATTATAATGACACATTTTGTAAATTTGAAAATAAATATGTCCAACAAAAAGTATAGAAATTAGATTTTCATCATTTTTAAATTTATTTTTTTTATAGATTTTATATTTAATAAAATATCATTTATAATATAGTATCGAATTAGATTAAAAGTATCCGAACCCCATGTTATTAGAAATATTCTAACAAAATGTTGTTCACAGATATATGAGGTGGTCCACAGAATCTGTATGGCTAAGGCAATGAATCGTTAAAACATACAGAGATTAGTTACACTGATTACCATTTTTATAAATTTAACCAGAAAAAGCACAGAGTCACAAGATTAAGGGAAGAAAGAAAAAACCAAAAGTGGAAAAACACACAGACTTCTGGTTCAGGAAGAGGTTTAGGATGTTCCACAACATCCTGTCCCTTTAGACCGTGTCTCTTCTCCAGGAACAACTATATTTGTTCCTTTCAGCAACGAAGAGTTCCCTCCTGTCTCTCCTTCATCGTTGGCAACAAGACTCTTCTTGCTCACGATCCGATAAATCTCTGTCAGAACCGTTAGGAAAGCTGGCTCGACGTTACTTGCATCGAGGGCCGATGTCTCCATGAAGAAGAGGCTTTCCCTTTGAGCGTATTCTTTCGCATCCTCGGTGGGAACAGCACGTAGTGTCCCGAGATCCGTCTTGTTTCCTATAAGCATAATCGCTATGTTTTTGTCGGCGTGTCCCCTCAGTTCTTCCAACCATCTTGCCACGTGATCGAATGACTGTCGCTTCGTTATGTCGTAGACAAGCATTGCCCCTACTGCTCCTCGGTAGTAAGCACTTGTAACTGCTCGATATCTAAAAATCAACATGACGGGTAAGATAGGTAAAGCAATGTGAAGAAACTCACAAATGGATTGCAGGGAAAACATCAGGAAATTTATTTCTGCATGAACATGAACACATCCATTTCTTTAACCTGATATTCTAGCACGATAACAGATCAAGAAATTATGATGGATTATCTCGCACGGATAATTCATGTAGTCAGGATATGCCACATACGGGAAAACCTGCAGTATGAATGTGCGAGATTGACTAATCCGAGGAGCAATGGCAGCCCATATTTCCTTAATAGACCTCTAACCTCATCAAGATACTGATAGAAGAAACCGGATGGATTCTATCGGGATAATGCCCGCTACTTAGAGAGATCGGCATATCTCCTTTGTCGTTACTATGAGAAAACGACAATCTGCTATTTGATCTTAACTTTCGATGCTTTATTCCTCGACAGAAACGTGTCATGATAGGAAACCAAAATCCCAAAGAAAAAGGATAGAAAACCGAAACCAATTAGAAGTAGGAATATATATATGTCTCCTAGTTTAGGACAAAGACAGATATCATTCTACAGCCTCGGCCAGGGCCTGCTCTCGTCCTTATACGTCGTACCTACACGA